TTAACACGGATTCTTATGGGGTACAAATTTGCAATACCTGTTGAAATATCAGCGCTACTGGTAAAATGATATTTCTCGTCATTCTATTTTTTTAGCGACACTGTTATTCCAAAAATTTTGCATACCATTAAAAATATACGTAAGCATTAACAAATCAGTGTGACTAGACAAAAATAATCTTACATTTTTGACAAATTAATGGATATGTTGTAGCCACTTTATGAAATCGATATAAATTAATTATTTATTCTCTTGAACTACTAATAAAATAAGTTTCAATTTCGCGTAGGGGACGAAAAAAATATTCAGAATAAATATAACTATTATAGTTCTAAGAACTCAATTTATGATTTTTTTATGATTTATTTCGTCATAACTCATATATAACCATAAATAACCTATAGCCTTATAGGCTATTTTATAATATATAGACGTCAAATGTTATAGGCAACTAAAATAATAATAAACATCTTATATATATAGGTACCCAATAACCATGTAACAGTACATAGGACAAATATCTACCATCTTTAGATACGTAGTTACTAATTATATAGATATTGAATTACTGAAGGACGCGATTATGTATTGACATTTTTATTATTATTTGATTATATTTTATTTTATAACAAAAAATATTTATTTTTGTTTTTATTATTCAGTTGTTTGTATATGTAGTATACACATCAATATATTACGTATTTAATGAAACATTAAGTATTTAAGTTATAGATATTTAGTTATTAATAATACTTGGATGTTGCAGCATTTGGAACTTTTTTTTCTAATGTTCGGATTCGTTGCTAAGTAGGTTATAAATTTGTTTCAAACAAGTAAAAATTAATATCTAAGAATTTTAACTGCAACTTTTTGCAATTTTCTACTTTTTTCAATTTTATTGTAATTTTGTTGATTTTTATCATTTTCAATACGAATTTATATAGGTATTTTTTTGCATTTTCACTTTTTTTTGTTAATTTATATAAAAATAATCTGAGGTTATTTCGTTAATACTTCGTCTTAAAAAAAAAAAAAAAAAAAATAAAAAAAAAAAATAGTTTAAATAAAACGTTTTAAATTTTGATAAAATTATTTGTAGGTTCCAGAAAAAATAAGAAAATACTAGACAATTTATCAGATTTTCAATTATGAGAATTTGATTTTGTATTTTTACATAATTTAATTATTTAAATCTATCTAATTAAATTATTTTTATTAACTACTTTATAAAATTATTTAATCCATTTCATAAAATAATTTGTTGATATTTTTTTTATTTTTTTTTATATAGTTTTGGTAAAAAAAATTATTTTCATTGTAATTTTGAGTTTTTTTGCAATAATGCAATCAATTTTATAACATTTTTAATGCAATAACGCCCGAGCCCTAACCTCTAGTTATTATCCAAGGTGAAATCTTTCATATTTAACACAACCACCCATACAAATGTACTTGCAACTTTAAATCTGGAAATATATTTTTATTATTGGTTATACATATCCAGCGTTAAAATCTCTTTATTTATTTTTAATCACTTTTAGTTCTTTAAATCTCTGGTATAAAGTATATAGTGTTTTAACATAAATTGATTATATTTTGATCATAATAATAATTGATTTTGAAAAACAATAATAAATCTTATACAAAAATATATAGCTATACAATATTTAAGACCAAAAATCAAATTTAATAAATTTATATTTATTTTATTTTTAATAAATATATTATACTACTTACTCGTATTAAAGTTAATTTTATAGTTCAAAACTTCAAAAGACTTTAAGTTTAGCCAAAATTAAGATAAGCTTACGTGTCTGATATAATACTGATAATGAATTCATCAGAAAAATATCTATAGATTGTATAGAACGTTTTGAAAAAATTTAATCTGATTTTATTTTTAGTTGTAATTATTGAAAAAATTAAAATATGGATATAATTAATTCATAATTAAAAATTAAAAATGGTAAGTATTCCGTACGATCTACTAATATTTTTTTGTTGAACTCATATATTTTTTTAGAATTAAAATCATACATTGTTAATCTACCTACTTGAATGTTATCAAATCAATAAACAAGTTGCCTCAACATTCGCGGTATTGTGTATTTTATATTATTATTGAGTATTAAAATTATTTACATGTGCATGTGCATACGAGTGATCTTTGTCGGTATCCAAATTGAACCTGACTGTTCTCACACTAATAATAATCAATTATATAACTTGTAAGTTGTAGGTACCTACATAGGTACATCTCGAGCGAAAACTAAATTATAAATTGCCTAACTGTTGCCCCTTAATTTAGGAATGATTATTAAAAAAAAGTTGTACCTAATTTATATTATTCAATATTATGAGTATGACATTTATAAAATAAAAACACACACAATTAAAAATATTAACATTTACGGAGCCTAAATAATTGAAAAATGATTTTTTTTAAAACTAATAAATTAATACTGTAGACAATATTATCTATTGTTTTTCCAACATTTTTATAGTATGTATTGTAGATAGGTACTGTACGTATATTATTTATGTTAACCATGTATCTATTTATAAAATCTACATAGTTATAGTTTCACAGTATAACGAGAAAAATATGTGTATAATACACAGATTTGAGCTATATCAGTATTAAATACTTTTTGGGCACCACTGTACTGTATGTGGTATTGTTAAATTGGAGCCTAAAGGTAAGTTTATATATTATATGTATGTATACCTAAATATATAACTACACCTACCAACGCATAGTATCCGAGGTCGTCGCGCCCGTGAGTAGAGTCGATTTTCGTAACATTTTCACTGTCGTCCTCCATAATATAATAAAAGAATAATATTATTATGCAATGCCGTTGTGTACGTGTGTGACTGGCGACTGTTACGGTGTAACCACTTCCAAATAAGGACTAAGGAGTAGGCGAATAGCCGCGTACTTATATGCGAATGTTGTATATAGGTATACGCGCAAAAATTGTTCGTACTAATGTACCTTTTTTACTGAAGTATACGGTATACCTATATTTTAAGTTAAAACAGATATAATACTATATTACGAGTATATGTACATTTATGCGATACGTATGAAAAATAATTTTATAATTTTTTATATAGATGTGTATACTTAACCATAACATAATCTAAGTGACATTCTTATTATACTATTACATAGAAATATAGTTATATTACCTATATATTGTGCACGCGTACAACAATACTTCATTTGGAATATTTTTAGTTGTTCGTAAAGTACGAATTTGTATGCACTATAAAAAGCTTAAAATATTGTATAAAAAATGAAAAAATGGTATATGCTATTGACGATGAAAAAATACAAAAATATTTTTAGAACATAGGTATTAATTTTTGGTAAAACATTTAAAGGATGGTATATATTTTTGAAAATAGACATCAATGACAGTTAAAGTAGGTACAATAAATCAAAAAAAAAATTAGATAGATAAAACGATATTTCTTTTTAAAATAAACATATAGATTTTAAACTGCAATTGTATTTAGAATGTACAAGTATTACATTTATAAATCATGAATTTGTACTTTCAATTTTTACTATTTCATTTAAAAGATCGATTTTTTATAGTTTTTATTCGAAATTTTAAAAACCTGACTATATAGGTAGGTAGATACTTAATATGAAATATTTTTAATTATTTGAGTGAAAGTATATTTTTAAAATCATGATTTTTAGTTGGTAGGTAGATAGATGACAAAATATACGTAGGTATTTAAAAGGTGTTTTAAATACTTTTTGCATAGCATAAAGCATGGTTTTCGAATCAATGCTATCCAATCCTAAAAATAAATAATAAGTGATAAGTAGTCAATATTACAATATTACCTAAAATTATGTTTTATTTTTATGTGTTATAAAAAGACCATCATCCGACATCCATCATCGATGGCGATTTGTAAGGAACGTGAATAAGTAAGCTTATTATCTCCAATATAGTCTTATATACAAATACAACATTTTATTTAAAATAACATAAAATACATTTTAAATTGCATTTTACTCATTTTAATTTAAATAAAATTTTGATGTGCACATTATTTTCTCTGAAATATGTAGATTGTAGATATACCTAGTTAAAAAAAATAGATAAAAGGTACTCAAATGTTAGATGATACTTAAAATCCTTAAAATATGCAAAACAAATTTTACGTTTAGGTAGATTCTTAAATATTTTAAGCAGAATTTATATTTAAACCTGCAATATTAATTAAAGAAAAATAAAAATAAAAATACACATATATGCTAGAAGTCTCTAAGCCTAATGGTATGCAAATAAAATTGCAGTAGACAATATTTCGAACAAATTATGTTAATATGAACATGACGTGAAAAATTAAATGTACATTTTACAATAATGACTTATTTAAAGAAAAAAACGCATCTATGCCAAGTATATAAATGCTAAAATAAATATAAAATTACTATATAATATTATATTAATTTAAAAAAATCAGGTTTATAAATTCAGATCAAATTTTTGTTTTTCCAAAAGACTTAAAATGCGCCTACAGTGACCGTGGTAGCGTTCGGCGTGTGTTTTAAATACGTATCTACATATTTTTCAAAGTAGGTACCACTCGGGCATATTATTTACACTACTGGTGTGCCTACTACTGAGACTATATTATAGTGAGACTATACAGTTATTAGGTATCTACTTATACCTACCTACGTAGTAATGGATCTGATGGTCGTAATCGTTATAATAATAAAATATCGTTGTACCAGCACTATGCGTAATAATAATTATTATTACCTGTATGGACATGTTGCGGGGGCGAAAACCGTCGGCGGCACTACCACCACCCACCGCCGCAGCTACACCTGACGACCTATCCGGTCGTCTTCGGCGGCGGCGGCGGCGACGTCGAAAACGGAAGAGTGGGACAACGTCGCGAGTCACTATAATAGTAATAATATGTATTTATCCTACCTACGTGTCGTCATTCGTGTGTAACACCCACCCACCCACCTGCCGAGTACCGCGTTCGTAGTTCGTACGGGTCAGAACCAGTCATAGCGGATTGCGCAACGCCGGAACCTTTCACTGACGACGACACGACGACGACGTTCCGCCGCCTCACGAATAACAAAAAAATCCTGTGTTTCGTCGCGGACCCGCTTTGTCCGCTGCAGTTGTCGCCGTTCGTCATCGTCGCCGTCGTTGTCGTCGTCGTGTCGTAACAGCGTCGTTCGTCGGATTCCGCCATTTTCCCGTCTGGCGGACACCGTTGACGGTCACTGCCAACCCCGTGAGTACAATACTTACTTATCCTACCCTAGGTGTTATACTTATTACCCGTCTTTATCGTATCCTTCAGTGTCGCCCTCAACCGTATATCCGTAGTTACTGCCGCGGGTGGTTAAGAGGATGTCACACGCATACCTATGTGACGTCTCTGTCTTAAAAGCGCACAACTTTTAAAGGAATCAAATGAGCTTTTATGTTAGAGTGAATTAGCCCAGTATCAAATGTAAAGATAAAATAATACAGTTTGAAAATGTTCATGGTTCGCTTGAAAATTAAAATATCATAAAACCCACATTCAGACACAGTTAATATTCTTAATTTTCAGTCTCAACTTTAATTAGTCAAATAATTCTAATAAAAAAGTGAATGGCATAAAATTGTTTTTATCGAATGTAAATAGCTATGTTGTACATTTTTGAAACGGAGACCATACAAGCAGATGCGATATACTATTAAGGTTTTTATATGCCAAGATATATGACATAAATAAACCTTGGAGGTTGCTAGTATAAGTTGCACTTAGTGAAGGAATGTATTGACTTAAGTTTTCTCGTTCTTCAACCAGACTACATGATATTATTTGGTGCATTTTCATGATTTTATGACGTTGAAGAATTATTTATGTTCATTGTTTTGTAGTAAACACAACAGAAAAATATACCTTCCTAATTATCAAGGAATTTAAATATATAAAAAAAAAGAAAATGAACCTGCAAAATAGAAACAATTCAACATTTTAAAACAGTTAAATATTTATTTCCGTATCCACTTGTTGAGCCTGGACTCGGTCAATGTACTAGATACTACCCATGTTCATGAAATGCAACTTAAATAGACATTTATTGAAAATATTTCTTTTTACATGATTAATTACATAGTAATTATAAACTGTCATTGTAATTCTAAGCAGTCAATCAAAAATGTTTAACCTTCCTTTTTAAGACTAACTTAAATTTATAATAATTGATACATTTATCATTATTGTCATAATGTCTAACAAGTAATAGATTAGGTATTTTTTGTATAGATACTACTAGGTTAAAGCAGGCATTAACTAGTTAAAAAGTTGATTTTTTTAAATGTTTCAACTCAACTAGTTAATTTATTTTCTAATCAATTCATGAACTTAAGGCATTTAATTGACAGTTGAAATAACTTAGCTTTTTGCAATTGATATTAAAAATTTTTTTAATAAAATTATGAATTATAAATTATATTATTTTAATGTTTTATGACCTTCAATTGCTATTTTATATAAAAAAAATTAATATTTGTTAAGTTATTAATTTGAGATGTGTATAGTTTAAATTGAAAAATAATATATCATGTAACGTAAAAGAGTATTTACACTGTACAATGTATATTATGATAAAAGTTTAACAAAATTGTTTTTTATAATTTAGTAAATTAGAAAGACAGATCATTCTTTATGCAATTTACATTGGTACTAATTAAAAAAAAAAATTAAATTTTTTTAAACTGAGTTAAGTTAATATTTTTTTCTATAAAAAATTTTAACTTATCGAGTTAAATTTATAATTTGTTAACAATTAACTTCTAACTTATCGATTATACCTATATTTGCAGTACTTATATGTGTATATAGTATTATATTTTATTTTGAGACCCAATGGTTTGTAGACACTAGACTATTGCTTTTTTTGACAATTACTTATTTAGACTAATTAAATGTATTTTATTTTTTAGGATTATACCATGGCTAATAAATGCATTCTTTTGTGTGCAGTAAGTATTTATAACTAAAAAAATACATTTATGTTTAAGCCAATTTCAAATAGTATATAATTTTAATCTTTAGATAATTTAATTTTAACCTATTACAAAAGTCAATGAATTTAATTTAAAATAAAAAATATTTTATTTTACAAGTATAATATTAACTATTTTACTAAATAATATGTGAGTACCTAATCATAGAATTTAAAAATTAAATTACTTGTACCTTTACATTATATTCTTATTCAATTTTTATGAAGATTGCTTAGCCTAAATATAATAAAATATATATTATCTCTGTCTGTATATGATTAGCAATATTTAGTAACTAAATTTATAAATGCAATATTTACAGAACTTTATTATTGAATAATCACTTTAATGTTCCATTGAAAAACAAATTTAATTTACAAAGATTTTTAGGTATTTGTTTACTTATGATGTAATTAACATATTTTATAAATTGTTTTTCATTTTAGTTAGCATTATGCTGTGTTCGTGCTGATCACCTGATGTCTAATGATGCTTTATCAGGTATATATTTTAAATAGTTTTATTTTTATAAATTAATAAAAACACTTTTTAGAACATTTTTATTAGTTTTGTAATAAAAGGTTTACTCTTTATGATTAACTATGTTTATAGCTAAGCATGTACTAAAATTTAAATTATTTTTAAAAACATATTACTATATTTCTAACTCAGAAAACAATTTTACTTTAAAATAGGTATTAATTAATTTTTTTTATTACCCATATAGATCTAAATGATATGTCTAAAGATATTACTATAGAATGTAACAATAAAGAAATAAGTGTAACTATTGATACAAAGTCAAAATCATTCACCGGAATAATTTACCCTAAGGGCTTATCCAAAAATTCAAGTTGTATGGCTGAATTCAATTATGAAAAAAGTCCTGTGGTTTATAAACTTCCGTTAAGATCATGTAATACAATGAGTACATATCTAGTAAGTAAATTTAAATAATGTGTATAATATATATTATTAAATTTAATAATACATATATTAAAAATAAAAATAATATTTTTAGAATGATGGTTTAGTAGAATACTTCAATACAATAGTTTTGCAACCTCATAGAAAATTGGTGACAAATCAGGGTAAAGGCTTTCATATTCGTTGTAAATATCAAACAAATGATCAGCTGTTAACTAATGTGTTAAATATGAGGTAAAGTTTCTTATAATTTAAAATATTTTTCATTACTTAAGGAAATACTTATAATTATATTAACAGTGTAGAGTTTATGAAATTAATAATTTATACATTATTATTCTATATTATTTCATGTTTAAAATTAATATTGTTCAAATTGATATTCATGAAAGAAAATTAAGTTTTTTGTTTTTTTTTAAATCATATATTTACAAAAACAGTATTTGAGTACTAGAAACAATAATAAGTATACTTTTGGTAACCTTTTATTTTAACTATTAATACCAAATATATTATCTTTTATTAAAAACACCATTAATTTTAATTTACTAAAATGAATAAAAACTTTTTAACATTCATGCTTAACTAAATAATATTATAGAAGTGTTAAATATTAGTACATTACAAATATTAATAGAAATTAAATTTAACATAATGTTTGTAATTTAAACATTTTATTGATTATTGCCAATTTAGTAGTTGATTAAAAAAAAATTTTAAATGGTTAATATAGTAGTATTTTAATTTTTAATAAATAAATAATAATCTATGCATGTTAACACCTATACTTTTTATAATTTTGTAGCACAACTGATGAAGGAGCAATGATTGAAACTGCCAAGATGCCAACGTGTACAATGAAAATTTTCTCTGGGAAAACTGTAAAGCAAGATGTAGCGGAAAATGTGAAAATTGGAGATCCCTTGACAATGGTTATTTCAATTAACAGTGAAGACACTTTTGGATTGTTTATTACAGATTGTTTAGTTCGTGATGGTTTGGGTTGGGGTGATCAGCGTCTTATTGATAAATCTGGGTAAGTTCTTATATATATATATATTGTGTGTGTGTGTATTCCTGTAGTATATAATATAAATATCTTTATTAAAATCTTAACAGTTATAAATTTATTTAAATATCAATAAAATTAAACAGAATAATTCTTATTATACAATTCATGACTTCATATTAGACATTATGAAATATTTTATTTACTTATTTTAATTTATAAATTGTAATTATTTATGTTAGATGTTCAATTGAAGATGATATAATGGGACAATTTCAATATAGTGCTAACAAAACTACAGCAGTGGTGAACTTTCAAGCTCATAAGTTTCCATATACTACCTCTGTTTATTATCAATGTCATGTTCATTTGTGTTTAAAAGCAAATGGAGGTTGTGCAAATACGGTAGTTTTTTTAAAGACAATTGCAACTTGGTACATGTTTTAAATTTATTTATATTTCAGCCACCAAATTGTAGCAATAGAAAACGTTTTCGACGTGAAGATCAAACAACTGAGGATGAAAGTCCTGCTACAATAGAAGTATATAGTGGCCTTTATGTAAATGAAGGAGTTGATTCAGGTAATCCAGAACAGATGGATCAAGTAGCACGAGAAAAGGTATGTTTTAATTATTTCTTTTAAAGTATGAAAAAATGTGTTTGTATAAAAAACAATTTATTATTTAGTATTTCAATAAATATTAAGTATAATATGTAATTTTAATCACAATTTTTGAATATTGCATGTAATAAGCATTAATTACATACATTTTATATCAATTAATCTCATGTAACAAATTGAAATTCAATAATTTCTATTCATAAATTTTTATAGTATATGTCTTGTTTTCCACTTCTAAAATAAATTGTGACATATTTTAATTCATATCAAACTAAATAATTATGAATTAATTTAAAAAATAATTTTATCTTTGAATATATAAAATTTTTTTTATTTTATCAATTTACTAATTGATTTTTTTTTTTTTTTTTTGATCTTCAGTCACTTTTTATGAATTATTTGGTTACTATTATGAATATAAAAACATAATAACTTGTTGGATAAACAAATGTCTGTGTTCAACAAAGTATACCATTGTTATTTTTTTCAAGTGCTGTGTATTAAATTATTTTATTTTAAACTGGCTTAAGTGTTTCTTTACTGTACAGGTATTTTAATAATAAAAGTTATATTATTTTGTTATAGATTTTGGATGATCCTTACAATATTTGTATTTCTCAGCGAAATTTTGCTATAAGTATTGCAATAGCTGGACTTATCCTCATGCTTTTAACAGTAATAACAGCTTTGATATTGTTGATGAGAAGACACAAAAAATCTGTTTCCTCCAGTGGAAGTTCTGTCTACAGCGGCCCATACACAAATACAGCATTTAGTCATACTAGTTAAATATCATCAATTAAGAATCTGTGGTGCTCTTTTTATTAACATGTAACAAAATTTATTTTTATTTTACATCTAAAATAATGGATATTCATAATATTTAAGAAATATCAAAGGTATTGAGATTTATTAAGATAATTCTATAGGGCTATAAAGCATATACTTATTTTTAGTAATTTAGTATTTTTTATTAAATGAAATTTAATTTGAATCGCGGACATATATTGAGAACTTCACTCTTGCTAAATGTGTTTTCAATAATATATAGTCAATTATTTAACTATTAGCTGCTCACATGCTCTAATTATTAGATTTTTCCGTTAATAACATTTGAAAACGCATACAATAATATGAATGTATTATTTTTAATACATTTCAATTTTTTTTTTTTTTTATTATTTAGACATGTTACCTGTAAAAGAGTGTATACTTTTATAATAACTATTTATACATATATTTTAGATAAATATAATTTGTCTCGAGTTCCTTCTTTATATTTTGTCAAAACTAAATTTAGTTTTATGTCATGAAATAGTATAAATTTATGTTTTATATTTTATATTTATATATCTATTATGTGAACGGTTTGGAGTCTATTGTATTGATATATGTCCCTGATTTAAATATTTTATTAATATTTATATTACTTTATATTACCTATGCAATTAATATATTTAAGAATTATATTATATGATCAATATAGTGTAGTAGTATTATTTTTATTAAATTAAATTATATGTTTATGTATTTAATATCGTTTTGTTATTTAAACAATCCAATGAAAAAAGATAATAAATGTTAAGAAAAACAAGAGTTAATAATAAATCAAAAAGAATAAAAGCAAAACATATTATTGGTATTATAATTAAACCAATAATATCAATTTGATGTTATAAAAAATTTAATGATTTTTGTGATAATTGATATGTTACAAGTAAGATGTTTATACTATTATTAATTGCTTAATGATATTTCCTAGAATGCAATATGTAATTATCTAATCAAAACATCTATTTCTAAAGAGGAAAAATCTAAATTTTTAACTTTCTACACTATTTGTACTAAACATACCTTTCTTTGCCCATAATTTTGACTATGATACTATTTCCACTTAGCCATGTTTACTGTGTATCAAAGTATTGCTTTCCTTAATAATCTTTGAATTATTGTTCCAGATTATACTCATAATATTCTGTGTTTGAAAAGTAGTATTTATGGAAAAATTATAATGTATGTGTCATCAGCTTACTTTTGGGATAGAAAGGAACAACACTTCATCCTAATACTTAACCAATAACCATAGTGAGACCAATTTTTTAAAATTTAATATAGATCAGTAGCTATAACATATAATTTTTAAATGTCATTTTGAGTAAATAAAAATAAAAATAATTTTCATAATATGAATTATGATCATGTATTAAAGTTGAGTTTTTTTTTTTTACAAATACTTAAAAGCAATTTCACCTCTATTAAAAATAAACACAATAGCTAAATTTAAGTTTACAATTCATATATTAATATTTGGACAGTTGTTTGTTCAGTATTATTTTTCATCACTTGTGCTTGATCCATGGATAGGACTCAGTTTGACCAATACTTATTTTAAACTTGGCTTCGATTTGACTAGTTCCATTTTAATATTAATTTAAAACTGGTATTATATAAAAAGATAATACTATGATCATAAATTACAATGTCAGATCGTTGTGCTCTCCTTTGTTAAATATATACATTATACATATAATATTTACAAAGAAATAAATAATAATTTACTAAATATAAATCAGATCAAATGTTTGAGAGGATATCCATAACATTATTTGGAAGCATTGTCTCCAAACGATCAAGACAATAGTTTACTGGCACAATAATCCACATGCCTATCTATAAAATAAAAATGACAATTTTTAGTAAAATATTTATATGTTACTTGAATTATTAGTTATTAACTTTAATCTGTATTAAACTGAGTGCAATATTAACTTACAATATAAACAAGATTGCCTGTGAACTGTGGATGGAGATATATCAGCAGAGCAAGTAATGCTGAAAAGGAACTTAGACCAGCGGTAAAATGAATAAAGAATGGCAAATCTTTCTTCGGAAAAACACTTACTTTGTGAAAAGCTATAAAAACAAAATTATATAAGCAATAGTAAAAACAAAGAAAATATCAAACATTATAGGTACTGAATGAATTACTTGGCAATAGTTCTCTGTCGGCTAACTCAGTACATGTTGGATAAGGATGAAATAAATATCCTTTTTCTAAAGGATATGGAATTTGGTTAAATGCACTTTCCCATGTTTCATTAAGAACGGTTAATGCTCCTTTTATCCGTTTCCAGTGTGCCAAGTGAAAAAATGCATATGCTACAGCTTCTGAATCTCCTCTTTTCAGTATGTGTTCAGGTGGAAAAATATATGATTTCATTTCCAGTAAATACTGAAAAATTAAAAGTTATATAATCATAAATGAATGCATTGAGTTATTTTGGTTCATAAAAAACTTATAAAATTAATGTTTTTATAAAAATGTTAACATTTGAAAAAATAAATTTAATTGAAAAAGTATTTTTCTTACTAAAATATTGATATTTCTTTAGACTAAATTTTTTGTATTGAATAATTAATTTAAAAATAAGATATAATACATTAATCTTTAAAATTTAAATATAATTAATAATAAATAGGTTTTAGATGTGTAATTGGGAAATAGTATCAATAGTACTCTAACATCGCATAATTTATAATCAATTAAAATATTGAGATTATTTAAATTCTTTAAATATACTTTTGGAACATGTGGATTAAATTCTACAGCTCGGTGAATAGCTTCAAGTGCCACTTCTTCTGCTTGAGAAAGTCCTTTTTTCAATGTATTTTCTACATTATATCTGTAATTTATCAAATTTCTGTTATGTTGTAAAGAAAATAAATATAAAAAATAAAATAATAATAATAACTTTTATGCAAATTAAATCCAATACAATACAATATACAAAAAAATAATGTTCATGCATTTTAGTTAAAATTTTATATTTTATGGCAGTAATGAATACTTATTTTAATTAATTGTTTTATTGTAACACTTATTTTGTATAATTTTATTTGAAAATCTGATGACGTGTGTGTGGTTCATTTGTAAATATTAATCTAGATTATAGTTCAATAGATAACTTGAAATTCAAGAAAGAAGTCGACTTTGGAAAATATCAATATTCCTCATGTAAATCTATTTTAACGTAATATTAAAAAGTTTGTTGCTAACAATGTAATAAATGTTATTAGTTTTTATTAATTATTCTGACATGTAAAATAAACAATGCAGGTTTTAAATAATATTATTTATATGAATTTATCATTTATAAACAATACAACATAACTTATATCTCATGGATATCAATAACTAGTAAATATAATTGGTATGTTTGTGTTTAAATATTATAAACATAATATTCTTTTTTAAAGATATTATCAATTAAGTCAAATCTACTGAGCACTACTAAGATAATACAACAATATTAGGTATTTAAATTTTAAGTTATACTACAGTATATTTACAGCAATACAAGCTTGTTTAACTAATTATCAATATCAAACAAAATGACAAAAATACATGCATGGACTTGAATAAACCTGAAATTTTCTATGCAAAGAATATAATTAATATAATCATATCAATAATAAATTTACTTGTCAGCGATAACACGGATTTTTAACAATGCAGAAGTATAACAGATGACCGCCGATTTAGGTAGATTTATATCATCGTATTTGGCTAGTACCGATTGTACGTCGGCATATGACTGCGTTTCTAATAGTACTTCTATTAAATTTTCGTGAACATTAAGTATGTTCATTATTGGAGGCATTTCCTTGCTTAACTGTTAATAATAAATCCTTTCATAAATAAAGGTACACGCACAAACACCCCACACACATACTAGATACATACAAGATTCATTTTTTTTATGGATTCATTAGGACATTATGATAAAGAGAAAGTTCCATATTGATTAACAAATCAATAATATATTTTAAGTTTTAAGTAAATTATTGGACTTTCCTTCAGCCATCAATACAAAATTATAACTTGAATTTAAAATGTAGAATTTAGAAGTGCATAAAAAATTAATAAAATAATTTGACTTAATAACCTAAACAACGCAAATCATTATTTAAATTATTCTTGTTAATTTATTTATCCTATGAAAAATTTCAATTGAATATTCAATTAGTTAAAAAATTTAAATTTATGAAATTAAAAAATCAAGTATACCATTTTATAATTTTAATATCAAAAGATACTAAAACATCACATTGATTTCAAAATTAATGTATTTAATTTAATTAATTTAAGTTTTATTATTTTTTGATGTATACAAGTTGGTTGATTAAAAATTGAACATTCAAATATCATAATATATTTACTTAATAGTTAGTTTTTAAAGCACTATTCTTGTGGAAATAATAGTACTAAGTTATTGATAATATTCATTTATTTTTCTTATCAAAATTATTTATAGTAAAGGCTATTTCTATTGTCTACTACTAGAGTAATGACTACATGGCTGGAAGACAGGTATAATTTTTCTTATTAAATTTCATCTAAATAATTTCAATTCTATTTTACGATTATGTAAATATCAATTAGTCGAGCATTAACTACAATGTTACAATTATGTTATGATACTATAGTGGCGTGCCAAATGGAGTAATATGTTTGATGCAAAGGAATATTTATTTTGAAAGTATATGAAAGTTTAGCTATACCTAAATAGTTAAATTTATGTAGTTTATGTTATGGTTAAATGCAATGTATGTGTAATTTTGTCATAAATCTTATGTCAAAGATAATGCACAGTGATAGTAATGCAGTATATGAGTAATATATATGTTATCTATGTAGATTTTGATCATTAACTTAATTATACATAATATATAACTTTTAAACACATCATTGTTATTGTTTCAATATGATATATAATATAATATGAAATTGAAATAGTTAGACAAAATAGAACTATTATTGACATATTATTAATATTTATAAATGCACATTAAGCTATTAATTGATAGATTTACACTTACATTTATTTTATGATCATACAGAAAGGTTCA